TGTATATATTGACACTTCAGTCAAATTACATAATTCTGAGCGAAGCTATAAATGTTGGGAGTTTTGATAAGAAAAGCGCAGTCTCGATTTCCATTGGTAAGATTTTTACGATAATAACAATATTCTCGATTATCCATTTCACTCCATTAAAATTCACGACCATCCGATACTTTAGAGGGTTGATTATGTAGGCCTACTGGTCATGAGAATAAATGTCTAATTAATAATTTTAATAACATTTAAGGCCTAAAGAAAGACATGCAATAGGCAAACATGGCTCTTACATAATGCATCTTTAAAAGAAATTCACTTACACACGGGCCATTACTGTGTAGATTGTGGATGGTCGCTAATTGGTCAGGTCAAATGTATCTAATTTTGGTAAACTGTTTTTAACCGTCCTTAATTTGCGATCCGACTTTGTAGAGCCCCGTACACAGAATTTACGTGTATATTTAGAACGTAGGCAATATTTTTAAAAAAACTTTTCATTGGTTTATAATTCGCTGTATTATGTTTCTCAAATAACTACAGTAATATAATTGTTTGACACATTCCTTGACATATCGCGTAATTTTTATCTTGAAATTGTGCATAACAATATTCCATTATTTAAGGGGCTATCTAACATTCGTTTGTTTTTCTTTTCTTTTCGACTACAACATCAGAAACAAATCTGTTGTGCCTAAATCTAAAGGTCTATATTTAAAGGAATGCCGGTATGTGAAACTATTGTAAATCAAAATTTAAGATATCTTAGAAATATTTTACACTTTATCCCAAAGGTTACTATTCCAATCCGATTAAAATACAGATCTATATTTCGTTTCGTTTTTTATACTTTCGATGGCCTACATTACTTGAAGATCTGACAAGTCATAGTGGAAGTTCACATCGGGGGTAAACAGTGCATGGGCGGATCTAGGAATTTTAATAAGGGGGGGGGGGGCCCGCAAAATGAGGGCACTGACCGAGGAGACGGGACACGCCGCTGAGAGGGGTTTTTTTTTTTTTTGGGGGGGGGGGTCCCCCAAGAAAATTATCCGTCATTTCCTTGTATCTGTAGCCACTCCAAGGGCTATTTGGCTGATATTTTTGTCTAAGTAAACTACATCAAGTTGAACTCATGCGCGTCGGTGATAGGCATGAGTGTATACGCCGGCGATTCCACAAGATGCTATCATTGATGTCTGTCTATAGTCACTCTATAGGATTAGGACACCGTCAGCTAAACACCAAGAATTCGTTTGAAAGTGAAAGCATTAATTAGACCAGACTGATGTGTTTGAGTCGATGGTTTGAGTCATTTGGGATCCCTGCAACGGGTTGGGAACGGACATATTTGGGTCTGAGAAAAGGCACTTTCAGCAGTAAAAAAGGGCACTGTCGAAAATTAGGGGGGGGGGGCGAGGGGCCAACCCCTTGGGTCCGCCTCTGCAGCGCGATTTTTGATCTTATGACATCAGACATTGATTAATCAATCAGTGTTATCGTTTCTAGTGGTTTACCCACAGTTCCGTACATCAAAAGCCCAGGAACTCGCCGTAACGACCGTTTAAATATTCCAATATGACGACTTTATTCAAAATATGGCCACACTTGACGGGAAATTTCGACGTTAGCAATGTGGTTGCATAATACACCAAATAGGTTTTCGGGGTAGGCAAATTAACATCTGAACCGCAAAATGTGCCATGACCGAACAAAACACCAACCTGGTACTCAAATTTGACAAAATATCTATGTTCAGTAGACCATTGAAGGAAAATATTACATTTCGCAGTTCATATATACTATTCAAAAAAAGTAGGGGATATTTGATTTTTAAGTGTTATTAAAGTCACCTAAGTCACGAAGAAAACAAATGACAAAATGAAATGAAGTTCACATTCATCGATTTATTCCAAATGATCGTTAGACTAAGTAAGGCACAGACTGACCATTATAAGGGTAAAATGATACCCGGGGTCAAACAGCAAAGTTACCACAGCATCACAACCAAGTCAGTAACGGGTAAATCCTCCTCTGTTTGCCAAACAAGCATTGATCCGACGTGGCATACTCCTAATGAGACGTCTAAGGTCATTTTGGTCCAGATTGTCCCATTCCTGTTGCAACGCAGCAGCAAGTTCTTGGACATTGGCAGGACGTTGTTGACGTTGACGTAACCTCTGTCCAAGCATGTCCCAGACATGCTCGATGGGGGAGAGGTCGGGACTCAGTGCTGGCCAGGGTAATGTGGTGATGTTCTGTTGTTGGAGGTAACCTGTAACGATCCTGGCCCTGTGACATCTTGCGTTGTCATCCTGGAAGATGAAACGGCGGCCATGACGTCGTGCGAACGGCACAACATGGACTGCCAAGATGTTGTCCCGGTAGTACTGGCCTGTAACACGCCCTGCAACAACATGTAAAGCCGTTCTTCCAGCAACAGTGATGCCTCCCCACACCATAACAGAACCACCCCCAAATCGATCAAAATTTGTTTTCTGGTCACTAAAACAATTAAACTGATGTTTCCACCCTGGAATTCAATGCCACAATGACTGTAACATTCAAAGTCAGAGTCGTGCAAATCTTGGGTTGGACCCCCATGATGATCCCAAGCATCACCTGCATTCCATGCGGTAGCTATTGGTGCGTTTGGGCGTCACATGTAACTGGAAATGTTTCTTCTGTTAGGTTCTATAGTGACTTTTTTCGTAGTCATTTGCATATTTTAGTATTATGCCCCCAAAATCAAATATCCCCTACTTTTTTTGAATAGTATATGAATTCGGCGACCTCGAAAACCTCCAGTTTAACGTATTACACCACCACATTACTACACTTAACATTGAAATGTCCCTCCGTCTTCATTATCCCAGTTGGGGCAGAACTGTAGGATGTTAAACCCCATTTCATTTCGAAATGTCCCGCCAATGCGAATATAGTGGTCATATTGGAATACATTTGGGTGGAACATATTTTATGTTAATACCTGAATTAGGAGACCACGAAAAACTATACAGGGGACTTTATGATTTTCTCTCAAAAATGGGTCCCATTTTGAATTTGGCTTAGTAGCGGAATTTGCCGTCACTTTTGGGGGCGCGGGGTGCCCAAGCTCTTTGGATTTAGTGAGTCGTATTCTTATAAAAAAACAACCTTCAAACCGACGTCTGAGATAAATAACAAGAAGATGTATGGGGACAAATATTAGAACTTCTTCAAAATGTGGCCTAACATACATAACTAGTATAAAGACGATATAATCAATTTTAAGGATGAAGCCGAATGAGAGAGACGATGTAGTGGCCAAATATATAAAAAAAGCGACATTAAGGAGCCCAGCGACTCAATGTTTGACACCCATTTTGTGCTTGTACGTGGAAGTGCATTGAATGTTGCATGAATAGGGTCGACCGATTTTCACCTTTTTGGACTCTCTGGTATTCAGTTCCTGTCGACATATGATCTGGACCCACAAAACGCCACTATAAAGTAATGCTTTTGTGGACACCACAAGGGGGGTGCTGTTCATATTACCGCGAAAGTTGTTATTGTAACACATCTCGGGTACATCTTTCTGATGATTTTTGGGCCAAATGTCAAAATTGATCAGCCCCACCCATTCACCTTTTCATGCACTACTTCTCCAGTAAAAGACCTCTTGGCGGATGAAATTCGATATATGAGTAGGCTGTTGCGCCAATGCAGGGCAAATTGTCCCTCATAGCACACTATATAAGGGAGCCAAATCGGAGCAGAACATTAGGATGTATAACCTCATTTTATTTCATTTCTTCAACATTGAAATGAATCTGTGTTCCTGCAGCTACTCTGACAGTATAACCTATCGGCAATGCAGCATTAGTTATACTTTTAGCCCCCCCCCCCTCTCCGTAATTGTAACACATTGTTCTTCTTTATCAACCAAACATAATGGGCATGTACTCTTTTCTGCATCCGTTTTTGCTGTTAAGATGTGTAAATGGACTAATTTTGGAAGAAATGCGACGTCTGATATGCCGTTGTGACGTCGCAGCGACGTCATAGAGACATAACGTCGCAATTTTGGACTCGCTGATACTGACTTCCTATCTGTCCGCAATACATTTATGGTGTCTAAATCCAATAGTTTTAGAGATAATTGCAATTTTTGATCGACAGCCGCCATCATGGATTTGGCCACGCCCCTAGTCCTTATTTGGACTCCGATTTTGGTAAACTTTCTTTTCCTTACTTCGGACATCATAATGAGTCAATAGAAATCAAAAAAACCTTTTGTTGCAATTTGTTCTACGTCAAATGTTAGTTTGACCAGCCTATAGGTAAAGCCACTGATAAACTGTTTTTTACCCATTGTTAACAACACGCACCGTTTCAAAGTTAATTAAAATTTATCTTTCAATATTTGTGATCGTTTTACTTACGCTTATCACTGGCATCTATTTAGGGTTTAATGTAAACCGTCTTTGGACACTTTCTGGAAATAATAATGGTAATAAAAATTTTACTTATCATAATTTGGTTTTTGCAGCAAATGGGCTTGTTCAGGAATATGGTCAGCGGTCGCTTAATGGGCAAGTTATGGATGATTGTCCTGATGTTTATTGCGATATTATTTTTCACAAGTTATTATAAGATGCTAAATCACTTTAAATTGTACAATACTTTTGAAAAACATACAGTTTACACCGAATTAGGGAATAAGTCACTCTGTGTCGAGAAACAACTGCTACAAGCTGTGACTAGTGTTGAAGAAATGTGTCAAAGACTGATTCCCGAAAAGAATACTACATACATCATGGAAGCAAAACGGTACATGGCCTCGCATCCGAGAATGGCCATTCTACCAGAATCATATAAAAAATACACGTCCAATTGTTCGAGATTCGTGTCTGATCGAGGCTTTATTGTGGATAAAATAACAGATGAAGAGAAAAATTTCCCCATTGCGTTTACTTTAATGGTTTATAAACACGTGAACCAAATAGAACGATTACTAAGAGCTATTTATAGACCACATAATGTCTACTGCATACACATGGATAAAACATCCTCCAGTGTTATATATAACGCATTGACGTCGATTGTGTCATGTCTTCCCAATGTATTCATGGCTTCAAGACGAGTAGATGTCATATGGGGACAATTCAGTGTTCTGGAACAAGAGATCGTATGTCTAAGAGATCTGTATGAACATAAAGTAAAATGGCGATATGTGATCAATTTAACTGGCCAAGAATATCCATTGAAAACAAATTATCAACTTGTTAAAATACTACAAGCTTATAAAGGTGCTAATGATATACAGGGTTCTACCAAGATGTAAGTTAAATTATCTTTTGTTTATAATGTTACATATTGAATTTACCTCCACGTTTTCATAAATGTTCCCAGGCAGAGTTGTCTTCATGCATTTCGAGTGTTAATACAAATGGTAACATGAGCAGTGCTTATACAAATGCTATCATATGATCATTGCTAATATAAATGGCAACATTATCGGTGTGACATTTGCAGTGCTAATACGAATTGTAAGATGATCAGTGCTAATACAATAGTTGAAATGCTAATACAAATGCCAACATAAGCAGTGCTGGTGCAAGTGTTAACATTGACAGTGCTAATACAGATGGTACAATTAGCATTGCTAATACAAATACATGTAGTAACATTAGCAGTGCTTATACAAATAACAACATTAGCAGTCCTAATATGGTAAGAATCACAGTGCGAATACAAATGGTAACAGATGATTCCTTGAGCTAATATACTAAGCAGCAATCCGGTTTTCTCCCACTGCTAAAGACCTCTACGCGCAAGCGAATTATTGAAATAAAATAAACCATATGTTAGTCCCGAAATGACCTAGTTTGTGTCGAGTGGACGTTAAACCCCATGCCCCCCCTCTCTCTCTCTCTCAGCAGCAAAAGTAACGTCAGGTTGGTATGTTACTCTGAATAGACGCATTGCATAAAACTTGCCAAAACTTTTTATTGTATATTTGTGACCACTTCTCCAACTTTACCTGAGCAATGAGGCTCTTTCCCAAACACGGAATTGAAGCCAGGAAATGTTCTCAAAAACGCTACCTGACTTTTGAGATGGTAATGTGTTCTTCATGATTTTCATGTAATTCATGCTGCACGTGCTGTTCACCGGGACCAGCCATATAAAATGCACCCCCATACCTGGTTGAACCATTCACACTACAACGTCAGCAGCATACCAGGACTCACGACAGCTCAGAGGAACCAGGCGCTTGGAAGATTCGACGCTGGCCACACTGCCCAAGCCGTTGCCAATCACTTCCAGGTCAATGTTCGGACCATCTATAGGCTTCAGCAACGCTTTCGGGCCACCAACACCACGGATGATCGGCCCTAACTGGTACACCAAGGTTCACCACAAAGCGATAAGGGCGAAGCCCCATCAGTACCTTACCGTGGACCGATCCGCACCAACACCAGAACTGGCGACACAGGCAATGGAGAGTCGGTATTGTGTTATCAACTGCAGATGGCAGGACCAGAATATGGCATCGACATGGCCAGCGTTATTTTGACCAAAGTGTCATTGAACGAGACTCAGTCATGGGGGCGGGGGTCCAAACATAATGATTTTGGGTGGAATCGGCTTGAACCAGAGAGTGGGTCCCGCGGTGTTCCAAAATCTTGGTCCAAGGAGAGGAGGCGGCATCACAGCAGTGCTCTCTAAGACCCCACGTCATACCACATTCCGCACGTCATCGAAACAAATAACGTTTTCCAAGATGAGAACGCCCAAAGTTACTCGGGACATCGTACAGCAGAACAGTGTCAACGTTATGCACTGGCCAGCCCTTAGTCCGGACTTAAACCTGATTAAACATCTTTGGGATGAAATTCAGACGAGACTTAATAACGTCGTACCGCGACCAAACAGCCGATGGATTGCGCCACGCTTTTCTGAGAGTGGTTCCAGGTGCCAATCGCGTTCATCAATCGTCTGGTCCACTCCATGAACATACGCTGCGCTGCTGTTATGGACACTCGCGTCGGACACACGAGATACTGATGTATAGACTTGGTACAGACTCTAAACCTCCTCGGAATGTCTTGGAATTGCGATGAATTAATCAGTATTGTGTCAACATACTGTTCACAAAAAATTGCTTTGATCCATTTAGTAAGTCGTTTTCTAGAATGATTTGATTAAAGTGCCTGTCTGATTTTTAAATCGTACTGACGTTTTTTTGTGCTGTTTAGTATATCAATTTTTACATTAGCAGTGCTAATATGGTGAGGTATTGGTTTTTCAGCTTGAACAGAGATCGTGTTGCTGGTCGACCACCGGCGCCAGGTGGTATTTCACCGTGTAAAGGATCATTGCATTATACAGCCTCTCGACAGTTTATAGACTATGTTCTACACAATAAAACAGCTCAAGATTTTCTGGAGTGGTGTAAGCTAATTGGTATACCTGATGAAACTTATTTCACTTCTTTAAACAACAATAAACATCTACAAATACCAGGATCATACATAGGTACGTATAGAAAGTTGCGTTTATGAGTGTAGCGGTGCAGGGAGATACGAGCTGGGTTCCGTGTGGTCTAGAGGAGTTGGGATGGCCGAATGGTTTGCGCGTGCGCGTTGTATAATAAGGTCTGTCATTTGGTCAACTGGCGTGGTTTCGATTCCCCGGTTGTACGTGACAAAGAGTAGGGTCGCCTGTCCTACCTCGTGGGTTTTCTTTAGGTCCTCTGGTTTCCCCCCACTGCTAAAGACCCATACGCGCAAGCAAATTATTGAAATAAGTCCAGTTTCTACTATTACACTAATTTGTCACCGTGTGTTTTGAAGTTGAATACCTCTTTAAGATCTATGCTACTATGCAATGTTGTCATATTCCTGAAGCAATGGCCCGAGAAATCCATCTCTGTCTATTGCTGGATTGGTTTCTGATACTTGAGCTTTTGAGGGAGTGTGTCTATTCTTCCCATTCAATCAAACCGCTCCTAAGTACAGCAGCATGACAGCCCTACGTTTAATCTGGGGTCTTCCCTAACACTTTGGACAGTGATTTAAGGTATTAATAACGGCAAAAGTATTGTTCGTCTCCAAGTAGTGTTGTTTACATACATTGTTTGTCGTTTTGATAGCCTCGTTTGTCACGTAGTTAGTTTTTTTTTTGCAATATTCTGCTATGCACTGGTTAACTGGGAGTAAAAAATTGGGAGCCATGACGTAACGTTATGTAAACATAAAATGAAATAGGGTTTAACGTCCTACTTTCCTGCTCCGAACTGGGCTAATGAAGACAGACATACGCTATACAGTGTGCCATGAGTGAAATTTTGCCAGGAGGGCGGTTGCACTACGGCCTAGTCTTATATTGAATTCCAGTTGTCAAGGGATTTTTTACATGCACGTCAATGTGTACAGGACCTCGGGTTTTTTCGTCCCATCCGAACGACGAAACCGCTGTCCTTGTCAGGCCCCCCGTCCTGCGTCACTAATAAGGGGGAACAACGCCGGAAAATCTAGTTGAACTTTCACGGCCAATGCAATGATCGAACACGCGACCTCCAGGCCAGCGAGCCGGCGTCTTACCCCCTAAGCCAACGTGACCCCTTTATGTAAACATATCTGGAGCTCTGTTTAAAGCCAATTGGTATTGTTACGCAGTTAGGTATTGGTTATTAATCGGACTATTTACCAGTCATAATTTGGAACAGAAATCTGCTTTCGTTACCAGCAGTGTTTGAGCGGGATTGGGTCTATATAATCAAACGAAACATTGTCAGGAGTACGCTATGTTGTTTCGTTCGATAGTACGATAACGTTCGATATTGGGTTTAAGTGCACGGAAATTAAAACTGGGTAGCAGCTTTGAATCAAATTAACAACAATTATTGTGTGATGGTTCTCATTGGTTTTTAAATATATTTAATATAGGAGATCGCGAGAGGGGAGACAGGGATTTTTTTTCCCGCTATAAAATCTGGTACGGTAATCCGTTATGTGGCAGCGGTTACTTTGTTCGAGAGGTGTGTATTATGGGAGTGGCGGATTTACCTGCTTTGACCAAGGCACCGCAATTATTCGTCAATAAACTACATTATTACTTTGAACCGTTGACATTTGATTGTTTAGAGGAATGGTACATGGAACAAGTGAAGTCAGAAATGACAGGAAATTTAGATTTCAATACAACTTTATATGAACAAAGTACAATTGTGAAATATAAATATATACCATCGTGATTCCGGTGTAAAACGAATCAGGTGATTTGAAATTTGGGAACAACAGTGTCGTGACAATTTTATACCTTGTTGTTTGTATATTATGTAACATTTAGATAAAAAGCTGGGGCCTGTTTCACGTTTAATAATTTGATTGGATAATATTAGATTGATTTTAGTGCTTAGTCAATCAAAATTAAAGTATTTACTAAAATTTAGATTTTATCTTTAGTTAAGATTTCGAGAAACAGGGCCCAGATCTTTATTGCTATAATAGTTCCAAAATAGATAATGAAAAATGAATGTATAGAGAATCTCCTACCAGTCTATTTTTATATCTAAAAATATCAACACAAGTTGATAAAGTAACAAAAAACGATGCTCTGCCCAGTTTTTTTTTTACTTTATCAACGAGTGTTGATATTTTTTGATATCAAAAAAGACGAGTAGGAGATTTTATTTATCACCCAATCCCTTCTTACATGCACAAATAGATAAATATAATTCTTTACTGTAGATTTCACTTTTACTGAACATTACGGCGGAGTGATACATTATTTTTTGACAGCAATTCAACCATTGCAAAGTCCTTTATATTGACCCAGTGTTTCCATCAAGGTCAATTGAATAACAATAAATGTAGTTCATTCTTAATTTAAAAAAAGTTATTTTTAATAAGAAATGAACTGTTCTTTGAAAATAAAAAAAGGAGTTCCTTTTCAACTGACCAATCCAATTCATGTAAAGCGATATCACCTAAGGAGATATCGCAGTAGATTATGAAATATATCACACAAGCGATATCTACTGTAGAATGTATTATTGGGTGATAAATTGAAAATATCATTCACATTACTTCATTCTGGGCGAAGTTATGTCTGTTTAAAGGTGTAGCGTAGATTGTTCATTATCGTTGTCTCAGTCACAATTATTCATTTTAAAGTTAAATCTTGCGGCAGTTCTAATCCATGTGTATTACGCCCATCCGATGCTCTATACAGCTGATTATAGGCTTGTAGCGTGCATATAGTTCCAATCTGATTAAAAACACAGACCCTAGATTTCATTTCGTTTTTATAGTTCAAATTTTGTTTTACTTGTGTTTACTACACTAGGATCTGGAAGAGATGTTATCATTGACGTGTTCTGAATAGTGTGAGGTATTAGCCAATGATACGGTCTGTTACGGGGAGCTTTAGGCGTGTTTTGCACGGAACTGTGAGTAATTCGCTAGTAACATCAATGCTGATTGGTTAATCAAATATCTGACGTCATAGGGTTAAAGGTTGCTCGTATGACCTTTGACGTGACCTATCGTAACTACCGGTCAGATCTTCATGTAGTGTAGCGCATCGAAAGTATAAAAAACAAACGAAATATAGATCTGTATTGTAATCAGATTGATATATGTCTAAATAATAGTATCCTGATGAGCTCGAAATTAAAAACACTACTGACAGTGACAATTACGCTTCCTACTTGGATCTGCGTCTCGATTTTGACAATTGCCATAAACTTAGTGTGAAATTGTACGATAAACGTGATGACTTTGACTTTCCGATTGCTAACTTTCCATTTATTAGTAGTAACATTCCAATATCACCAGCTTATGCAGTGTTTGTGTCTCAACTTCTGATTTTTTAAGTAGATCGAGGCATTTGTCATCTAAGCTTCAACTACAGGGATACTTGCGAACTAAACTTATTAAAACCTTTAAAACGTTTTATGGGCGTCATATTGACTTGATTGGTAAATATAACATGTCTCTCTCGGCTATTATTCTAGATATATTTAATTGACGCGTATACAATCTCCCTGATAATGTCTCTCTACTACATCGTTAACACTGTTCATCACGTGCATTTTGCATACAGATAGTTCATTGGCCAATCACGCTATTTTACCGAGATTTCGCCTAATAGTTTGGATGCAGCTATGGCGGTGTGGCGCCAGGCAGGGTGAGCTTACTCTTCCGGACACCTGTTACCACTGTTTGTCGTGTATTTTGTACACGGTGAACAGTCCATATGCTGATTACACTATTTTGCCTTATTACACTATTTTGCCTATACCGTTTTTTTAGGACTTCGAATTTTGTCTAATGGTTTGGATTGTTCGTACTTGGTTTTGTTTTATTTTATTTTTATATATAACGTTTGTCGACAAAATAATGAAATGCAATATGTAGAGTTAGCCCTTATACTTTAAACTGTAAGGGCAGCATAGCTTTAAATAAATTATGTTAAAGGGCGTATCTATGTTATTAATAGGATGAAGGGCGTGACAAGGACAGCTGTCTAGCCGTTGGGATGGCACGAAAAACCGAGGTCCCGTGTACACATTGGCATGCACGTAAAAGATCCCTCGACAGTTGGAATTCGATATAAGAGTAGGCCATAGTGCCGCTGCCCGTGCAAAAGTTCCCTCATAGCACACAGTATGGCGTATGCCCGTCTTCATTAGCCCAGTCGGAGCAGAACAGTAGGACGTTGAATCACATTTCATTTCATTTTATTTCTAGGTTATTAAACCCCGAGATTAGTCGCAACGGGACCAAAGAGCATATATAAATATAAAATGAATATATTTAAACTGAATTAGGCCTACATTTAATATTGTTTACATTATAATCAATTATGGCCTCTGGAATACGTGAGCACTCGGAACTAGCTTATATAATTGTAATGTGAATGTATATAAACTAATTACGGCCCACACTCAGTTCTGTTTACATTGTAATCAGTTATGGTCTTTGAAATACGTGAGCAGTCCAACTTGAGTGGCGTTTAATCCTGATTTGCCCAGTCTACTAGTTTATCTGTTATTCTTTCTGCATGATAAAGAGAGAGATAAATGAGGTTTAACGTCCACTCGTCATTTCGGGACGAACATATGCTTTAATTTTATTTTTTCAATAATTCGCTTGCGCGGAGCAGTGGGAGGAAACCGGAGGACCCGGAGAAAACCCACGAGGTTGGATAGGCGACCCTACTCCTTGTCACGTACAACCGTGGAATCGAAACCACGCCTGTTGACTCAATGACAGACTTTATGATACAGCGCGCACGTGCTAACTATTCAGCCATCCACCCCACCCACCCACCCCATGTTCCTTATAGGCTAAAGGCCCGGTTCCAGTGGCCGATGGACACAAAACGTATGCAAAAAGGACACAGCGGACGAGCAAACTTTCGCGGGGTGGCTCCATCCGTTTTCATCCGCTCCAGAAATGGACAAAATTGACGAAAATTTGCGAAAACAGAACGGAAAAGAACGAACGTGGGAAGTATGTGGCGGGGATGTTAAATGGATGTTCATCGGAAGCCTAGCGGATGAAAGCGGATGGAAGTAGATGACAGCTCCGGCAAACTTCAGACATCCTTCAATATACCAGATACAAACTCTTTGTCTGTTTTGAAAACTTTATATACGAGATGCATACGCTTACATCCTTTCTATTTCCGTGCTAATAACGATGTATAGTCGTTCCATGTACCTTATCTTTCCTCCCTCTTTCCATTTTCAGCTGGAGCGGATGTGAGTTGCGAGGATGCCCAGAGGATGCAGAGAGGATACCGTGGACGTTTAACAGATGATAACGGACATGGAACGTTTTGTGCTCGTATGTGTCGCGCATTTACATCGTACACGGCAGAAAGTTCATCCGTTAGAGCGTATGAAACACGTATGCAATGAGTACACAACGTATGCATGGCGTTTTCAAACGGTGGGCACGTTATTTTCCCGTTTTACATCCTCTTTGCATCCGTAAGTGCAGTGGGACCGGGCCTTAAGGACGGCAACTATTGATCTTGGTGCACGTGCCCAACCCAAGGGGGGGGGGGGGTGGATGGTCGAATGGTTAGCACGTGCGTGCTGTATCAAAAGTCCTGTCATTGAGTCAACTGGCGTGGTTTCGAATCCCCGGTTGTACGTGACAAGGAGTAAGGTTACCTGTCCAACTTCGTGGGTTTTCTCCGGGTCCTCAGGTTTCCTCGTACTGCTAAAGACCCCTACGCGCAAGCGAATTATTGAAATAAATTAAAACCATATGTTAGTCCCGAAATGACCTAGTCTGTGTCGAGTGGACGTTAAACCCCATTTCTCTCTCTGTCTCTCCACCCCCAGGGGCAGAGTCACGCCTAATTGTTGTGTTTATTGTATACAGGCCGCAATTCTAAATGGATCATCCTTATAGCCTAAGGGCGGCAATTGTTGATTTTGGTACATGTTCCGATCCCCAGGGGCAGAGGCACGCCCATTTCTCTTCGTTTGTCTGTGTGTTGCCTAACACATCGTCTTGAAAACTTTTTATACCTATTCCGATCCCCTGGGGCAGAGCCACGCACAATTTTTGTTTGTGTCTGTGTGTCGCCTACAGGCCACAATTCTTAACAGATCCTTTTGAGACTTTGCATACCTATTCCTTATACCCTAAGGATGGTCCCTATTGTTTTGAGTGAATGACCAATCACCCAGGGGCAAAGCCACACCCATTTTTTCTATGTGTGTCTGTGTGTTGCTTAAAACTGTCTAAGGTATTTGTATTTGCCTGTCTTCATTAGAACAAGTTGACCCCAATTTTTTTTCCGATTGTGACACCCCTAGTTGAAGCAGAACAGTAGGACGTTAAACGACATTTCATTTCACTTATACATAAATAAACAACGTAAACAATTGTAACTCATGAATACAGCCAAGACATGTCTTATTATATTGAATTGGAAAATAAACCAAAAACAGATTAACACTCCGTGTGGGATATTTCTTTCAGATGTTGTGAAAGTGTTGGTAATAAAATTAAAATTATCATTGTGTTATTAAACATTGAATTGTCACATGTTACGTTTGCTAAACAACCCTATAGAAACGAGTAAAATATAAAAGAAAATGTTTCTTTTCAATGATTCATAATAATACCTCACATGAAAAGGTTCAATCTAACTACGTTAGCTCTACTTGTCACGTGGGTATAAGGATCTATGACAGAGTTTCTATTCTATTATGATCTCTATTAAACATACATTATGCATGAGCTAAATTTGCCTATTGCAGGTCTTTCTTTAGGGAGAGAGAGAGAGAGAGAGAAATGGGGTTTAACGTCCACTCGACACAAACTAGGTCATTTCGGGACTAACATATGGTTTAATTTTATTTCAATAATTCGCTTGCGCGTAGGGGTCTTTAGCAGTGGGAGGAAACCGGAGAACCCGGAGAAAACCCACGAGGTTGGACAGGCGGCCCTACTCCTTGTCACGTACAACCGGGGATTCGAAATCCACGCCAGTCGACTCAATGACAGACTTTATGATACAGCGCGCTCACGCTAACCATTCAGCCATCCAACCCCCCTTTCTTTAGGCCTGAAATGTTATCTAAATTATTAATTAAACATATATTAACATGAAAAGACCTTAATCAACTCTCGATACCACTGGATTTGAATCCGATCTGCAGCTCAACGCTCTAATCCATAAATGGATAATCGAGATATGAATAGGGATAATAATGGCGACCTTATTTACAGATATTTACAATGAGTTGTTAAATAATATAAGTACATACAAATACTTTTATTCTATACATAATCTATAAACTATACATTCTTTAAATTACATAAAAATTAAATATCTAAAATAAAATAGTTGTGCATATTTCTTCAAAATGCGCTTTTACAGTGCGAAGCCGTGTTCGTAGTGCGTGCTTCGTACTGGTTGCGGAACCTCTCTAGTAAGTAGACAGTACGACAACAAGCCAAAATGATAGGTCGCTAATAGCGCGGTTGTGTTTGTTTCCTATTCTACTTTTTGGGTTGCGTATGCGTGTTGTCGCCTTCTTACGGACATCAATAAAAACACAAATATGACTACGTCGAAAGTCGGGTGACAATCAATAGTTTCGGGCAAATAGCCTTAGCCGAGATTGGCCGCTTCCGCCTATGATACTGCTTCAGTAACGGTATTGACCCCCCCCCCCCCCACACACACACAATCAAACATATTTCCAAACCACCATTTAGAGGGGGTGCAAATGATCTAACGCGTACAGTTTAGATCAGTCAGTGCCTCACGTGGCAGGTGGTTTCGATCCCCGGTATGTACGTGGCAAGGAGTAAGGTGGTCTTTCACACTCAAGCTGTTTATTGATGTAAAATTGTACCATACGTTAGTCCTAAAGTGAGCTAGTTAATCTTCTCTTAATGCAGTTTCCTGGGGAAGGTCATTCACACAAAGCTTTGCTTTACGACCCTGACACCGAAAAACGGGGTGTTTATGAATAGTCTCTGTTTTGAATGTCTCTTTTTTATAAAATGGGAGCCACGGTAGTTCAGTGAGTAAGACGTTGGTTCGCTAACCTGGAAGTCCCGTGTTCAATCCCTGCTTTGGCCGAGAAAGTTGATCCCAATTTCCGACTTTGTTCATCGGATCCTTGTCAGCGCCACAGTGGTGCAGGACCGAGGGCTTGGCAAGGGACAGCGTATAGTCGTCTGGGTGGGACGAAAGCCGGGGTCTTGAATACACATTGGCGTACACGTTAAAGATCCCTTGGCAGTTGGAATTCAATAAAAGAGTAGGTCGTACCGCAGCTGTCCGGGCAATATGTCCCTCATAGCACACTGTATGGCGTATGCTCATCTACATTAGCACAGTCAGAGCAAAACAGTAGGACGTTAAACCTCATATGATTTCATTTCATTTTTATAAAATGTAAAATAGGCAAAAGTACATTAGATAAAAACAAACGACCAATGGAAAGAAAGGCTATTAGGATAAAAATGACTTCAGAATGTCCTCATTTGAACAAACATGAATACTGACACCCAAGTAAAATACATGTATCTCCCAAATTTGTTTGAAATTAGGAGAAAATGTATAATCTACAATGGACCACCAAATATGGACAATAAAGAAATCAGTAATACAAACACGTGCTAATATATTGAACTGAAGAAATTTATAACCAAATATAATAAAAACATGCTGATAACCAACTAGGGTTGTTTACCGAGTATTTCCCCAAAATTAATATTATGAAACATTTGTTATTGTCATTGGGGAAAACTAAATTCCAGTAAATATAGGAACATCCTAAAAAGAGTAAACTGGAAAAACACCCTTTGTCATTTGCTGTATACGTGAGATTTGCACGTGGACATTCAATAGGTTTTTCAGCTGAATAAGAATCGTAGCATTAATAAATACACCAAAAGGTTCTATTGCGTTATCATTAATTCGATATATTTCAATCTATGTGCCAGAAATAAAAATATTACTTTCTTATAGGTTAGGTAGCCTATATAAGGGGCTAGAATCTAACTATTCTTCAAATATCATTGATATATTGTGCTTGGGTCTCAAAGGGTTACCAAACAAGGGTCACTGGCAAAATGCCAAGTGTTTGTAACCGCCTGGATAATCATGATGCAACTTCAGGGGATTAGATCACGCGGCCTGAGGCACACAAAAAGCTATAATAAAAGTGCGCCCAGACAAACATTATGATTAAATAATGTATAGCCATGGTATATAGGGGTGATAAAGCTAACTTCAAATTAGAATTAATCTTGGTTTGGTACAAATAATAATAAGTATTTTTCGTATATCTTTATCTACTAATTACCCAGACACGTACCCCCCTGATTGTTGAAGTTAATTATATGAGAATTAAAGGTAAGTGTACATTTATTAACTGTAGCCCTCGCTCCCAACGACCGCTTCCATCTAGGGTGATAGCGCAGACAAGACACTTGGTGTCAAAGGTTCTTTCACATCCGAACGACGATACGTTGTCCCTTGTCAGACCCTCCGTACTACACCACTGACAAAGTGGAGCCACCACAGAAAATCCTGATGAACTTTCTCGGTCAAAACAGGGATCGAACGTTAGCGATCCAATGTCTTACACACCGAGCCACTGTGCCCCCCCCCCCCGTGTGGCTAGGACTGGGCGCAATAGCGATAGCTAGCACAACCGTTGACCACAATTATGTAGGGTACCCCTGTAGTACTTTGGTCCTTAAGGGCAAGATAAAGTGACACCATCTTGATGCATAGTAGTCTCAACACAAACAAGGCTGAAGATATTATTTCCCAACACAGAATAGTGGCCCTTGGATACAAACGTCCAAAATAAACTCTATTACTCACAATACACTATTTAACTGTCAATACCCCTTTAATTCGTACATTCGCGTGTTATCACGTAAACGAAAATTTCAGTTTTATCACTTTCTTGTCCAATCGCGGTTACACCTACAGACAAAACAATAAAACTTGGGGACAGCTACTATCGCTCTATTTATACTCTGATCTATGCAGTACAGTAGTCGAGTCTTAGATTTTCGAGTTGCTTTCCTATTTCCTTGTAGTGTGAGATTTCCACGTCTTGCTACCACGGGGTTTGGATCCGCCATTTTCTTTTTCAATCTTGAAAATGACCCTTCATATCTTTAGACGAGTGGTGCGAATAATCGTTAAACTGACAACGCTTACGGAACATTGTATAGATATGCAAAGGTTTCATTTACATCACCATACATACAATTATGTCGTATTCCCTTTATTAATAACACATTTCGCCGTTGTATAAATGTAAACAATGTTTCGTAGGTAGACTTCGTGTCCAAATATCTGGTATGTCCTTGACCTTATGCTAATATCAATGAGCAAAGTGTTAATTTTAAAAACTAAATTTTCATTTTTTCATTTTTTAATTTAAACAACTGCGGAATATGATTAATTCATATCAAAACACAAATGAGTTGTCATTTACGGGATTTAATAATATTAAAAAAATAAGTCATGCATGAACTCATTGATGCGAGCAACACTTCCTTTGAGCGGTAATTCGACACAGAAAGGTAAATAAAAATGCAGTAAATACTTTTTGACTAATACTATCACAATTATCCTTACATTAGGTGGTAAATCGTAATATTATAGACTATTGCGCTTCATTTGCAAGAACTGTCACATCTTTTAATATCAAAATTATTCATATGGACCGTTCTGTAAATCGATGACAACAGAACTGTCAAAATCAAAGCTATCATAGCTGCCGTTGTCAAGTGTTGGTAAATGTTAGCAAAAAGGTTTGTTTCTAAATTTTGGATCGATTATTATTCATTTATGTTAGAATAATAATCATTTTGAGGGTCGGATATAGAATTTGTTACCTGAGATATAATTTTTGTGGGGCAAATTCATTTCTATGGAGTACCATTTGAAACACATCATATTTTCTAATCAATCATTCAGCCGGACCGTTCCACATTCAATAGTGGACTATTAGTGTACAATCTACGATTGAACAATGTGTTGAGTGTGAATAAATATTTAATAAAATTTATAACAAATTATTTTACTGTAAAACTTAGTAAAAATCTTTAATTGTCAGTACATTTTTATGCTTCCTGGCACAAAGTTTAAAGGGGTGAATTAAGAAGTAATACAAATGATAACAATGTGTATTCATTTTAAAAAATTGCTAAAAACCAAGGAAATTGTGGAGCAGTATTTACAATTTTCCATACAGACCCGAAACATCTAATCCAAATGATGATTATGATGGAACTCCATACAAAAAGTCTGAAAGTAGTCCCTTGAAAAAAATGGAGGATATTTGAAAAATAAAAGTTTAATTATATGGACATGGTGTGCTAAAACAAAGATAGTTTTCAAAATTTGAAGTCTTGATGGTTGTAGTGTATATATTCAGGTATCTCTGTGAGATTTTGGAATTTGTAACTTTGGAAAATATGGAGCAAATATACCATTCAGCACTGCGCAGCTACAGGGTAATCAACTCAACATGGGAAATCACAAAGTCTCACAGAGATACCTGAATATATACACTACAACCATCAAGACTTCATTATTTTTGATTTTCATCCATTTTTTATTGTTCAGTATCATCTCAAGCACGTCTAGACACCAAAATAAAGGCACTAAAGGTGTTGTGAATGATTTTTTGAGGACCCCCTATTTCAGGTGTTGTGACAATTTTTGTCACTTTACCTTGCCCTTAAGACCATATTGTACCTTTGACTAATTGTAGAGTGAAATCCCACGTACTAATAAAACTAAATGACATGTGTATGTAAAAAAAAACCAGTGATATTTTGGTAAAATTCTTACCATTGTCAAAATATCCATCAAATATTGTCTGTTTTATGTCATGTGGTTGATAGACCAAATATGGTAGTGTCCCCCCCCACTCCCCCCAGTTTTTGGGTAATGAGGGGGGGGGGGGATTGCATATTTGGGAAATTAACTTCAAGGTAAGTCTAGGACGTGCAGAAATTAGGAGTTTTTAGCGAGTCTCTTCAGAACTCGTCCTAGCTCATATTCCTAGCAGCTATCATCGATGCTTTATTGAGAACGTGGAACATAGAAAGCAGTTTAATAATAAAGCTGTAGAAATCATTTAACCTGTAGTTTTCTATTACGATCACGAAGAAAACAAACACAGAAAGGATGTCCCATATTACTACACCCCACACAGCCAAAAATTTCTCTATTAAAAGTTGTACACGCCACAGTGAATGTGCACCATCGTCGACTAGTCCCGAAATGACTGTTAACTAGTCACATAGTGCGAGAATACTGGCCGGTGTAGTCACGACAGAAAATCCTGATGAACTTACAGCAGCTTTTGCAAATAACGTTCGTTTTATTTTTTAATTTGCTATAATATGAACTATACCGTTGGAGCGGCATCTTTTGCTTTAGTAAAATTAGTAAAATCATACTGTTCTGCTCCTATACTGGGCTAATGAAGACGGGCATACGCCATACAGTCTGCAATGAGGGCAATTTTGCCTGGGCAGCGGCACTATCGCCTGGGCAGCGGCACTATCGCTTACTCTTATATCGAATTCCACCACAATATCTATATATATACACCAGGCCTTAAATCAGTTTCGCACATTTATAGTCACTAAATAAACGGTCATGTTGTACTTGAACCATCCATAAATTATACACTGAAAGATTGTTACGTGTGTCGGTCATAACATCCGGGCACTTGTGAATACAAAAATAGGTTACGTGCCCTTGTTTTAAAATTAACCAGTGTGATTGACAGGCCGGGGTAATCAAGACCACCTTTTTACGAAACATAACATACAGCTGAAACAAGAAATTGAATCTAGAAACACGCACGTTGGACAACTCAACAATTGTTTTAAGAACCTTGTAAAAGTAAAATGAAACTACTGCTAGTATCATGTTCTTGAGTAACCCGAGTGTTTCAGACATATTATTTGAACTAAGCCAAAAGATACCGCTCCTAACGATACAGTTAATTATAAAGTAATTTAAAAAATAAAACGAATGTAATTTCTAAAGCTGCTGTAATAACCAGCCATTCAGAATCGTCAACAATATATTTTTTTACGGCTGTAATAGTTGATAGATGTGTAGAGAATTGCACGTGTGATGGCTCTTTATAGTCTCATAGAATCGAGCGCTGAGTATTATCATACTGCGTGGTTAGCCAGAAATCTCTTCGAGACAAGCCACTGAAGCGAGCACATTCGCTGTGTCGAGACCAACTTTCTGTATGGAAAATTTTCACTGCACGGGTCACCCTAACAACGAAATGCTCTTACTCACATTGATACATAATAATAAAGAATTAAATACGTCATTAAAAATACCTTCGTACAAATCGTACAAACTGAGTGATTTGATGATATATTTGGATTAAAAGCTTAATTCAAACTAATTAATCTATCAAAGTTTTGCTTCAAATCCTTCTCAAAACAGTATATTCGCGAGGGAATACCTCTGGTATAACAAATCTATTAAAAGAGGCCATGCTTGTGTCACATGATTTGGCTGACGAGATTCCTAGTAACGGGTGCGAAGCCGGAGGAGAATTCATTGCAAGATGATGTTGTCTTTAATCGCTATTTATTTATCATAAATATCGAGGGCTTAATTAATTTCTCGGATTATCCACTGCTCACGTCTTTTCCCGAGGTTTTTACCTCAGAAAACTGTTGTACATCAAGATTATCAACATATACATCAAGCACTCACTAATCAGACAATCTTCGCGTGCAACCCTTACATTTTTGTCCTGTGTACGCTCAATGAACAATTTTCATGGAATCCAGTATTTTTCTATTAAGATTGGATGTATATACCAAAATTGTCATACTTTTGTTGGAAATAACCACCCGAAAAATACTTTTGTGGGAAAGTATCTTTAAGAGTTGTTTCTGTTTCATTTGGGGTCATTTCAAGTATAATATTATTATGAATTACATTGAACTGCGGTATAGTATATTGTTTAATGAAATGAAATGAAATGAAATGGGGTTTAACTTCTAACTGTTATGTTCCTAACCTGGGCTAATGAAGACGGGCATACGCCATACAGTGTGCTACTCTTATATGGAATTCCAACTGCCAAGGGATCTTTTACGTGCACGCCAATGTGTACACGGGACTTCGGTTTTTCGTCCCATCCGAACGACTAGACAGCTGTCATTGTCAGGCCCTCCATCCTGCATCACTGACATGGGGAAAGTACAGTATATTGTTTAAGTCGCTCAAATTTCATAATACAAAATAGCTGTATTGATTGCGAAAATTGTGTAAATTATATTCCATTATGGTGACTGGTATTCTGGGTTCATTTATTACATGGTTATTGTTTCTGC